AAAAAAAAAAAAAAAAAAAAATGAGTTAGGATTTTAAAACTTTTAAGTAAGTGATGTTCTCTGTCAATTCTTCCAGCTAATATTTAATTTTAAATTATATTGTATCTTTAAAAAAATTACTTCTTATGTAAGTCAGCATTTCAGTGCTAAAAAGTGTATGGTTTTTTTTTTTTTGGGCGGTACGCGGGCCTCTCACTGCTGTGGCCTCTCCCATTGCAGAGCACAGACGCACAGCCCCAGCGGCCATGGCTCACGGGCGCAGCCGCTCTGTGGCATGTGGGATCTTCCCGGACCGGGGCACGAACCTGTGTCCCCTGCATCGGCAGGCGGACTCTCAACCACTGTGCCACCAGGGAAGCCCAGGACTTTAAATTTTTAAAACCAGTTCATAAAATTCAAATACTATATAGACTCAATGAAACATTTTCTCCTCGGATTTCTTTTTTGCAACTTCTTCCCTAGACTATAAGTTCTGTAATGACTGCAATTTATAATAAATTGGTTTGGCTGCTTTAACAGAGGCTAGATAATAGTGCCTTAAACAAGATAGAAGCTTATTTCTCTATAGAGAAGTCCAAGCTGGCAGGCAATTTGGGGATCAGAGGGTATAGGGCGGGGACCTAGGTTCATCCAGGGACCCAGGTACATTCGGTCTTGTCCCTCTACTGTCCTTTAGGATGTTTCCTTTTCCACATGGTTGCAGAGAGTAGGAGGAAGTGGTGGGCAAGCAGCTGCCCTGTTAATGTAGGAGTCAGACTTTCTCTGTCGAGGGTCAGATGGTGAGTCTCTTAGGCTTCCCAGTTACATATGTTCTCTGTTGCATACTCTCTTTTTTTTTACAACCCTTTAAGAACTATTAAACTTGTGATGAAGTAACTATTCTTACAAGCGTTGCAAAAGGTCTGGGCTAGATTTGTCCCATAGGCCGTTAGTTTGCCAACCCCTGTTTTAAGGTTATGACTAGAAATTGCACACCACTTCCTCATCTGTTAAATATGGCTGGGATTTCCCTGGCGGTCCAGTGGTCAAACTCCACGCTTCCACTGCAGGGAGCGCGGGTTCAATCCCTGGTAGGGGAACCAAGATCCCCCGTGCTGTGTGGCGTGGCCAAAATAAATAATAAATAACATAAATAATAAATAGGACTAATAATAGTATCTATTTCAAAAGGTTGTTATGAGGATTAAAATGAGATAATATATTCAAATAGTGCCTGACACAAAGCCAGTGCTTAGAAAATTTTAACTGTTTTTACTGTAATAATAATTGATATTTAACTCTGTGAAAGAGAATTAGCACATTTTTCTTTTATCTCTTGATTTTTGTCATGGTTTATGACATTTATGTCTATAATTATGACAGTTGTTCAGTGTTAGTGCTGTATTTAGATCAAAACTCTAGTCCTTTTATCATGGTATCTGTTTCTCTGAATTCTTTGCTTTGATTTTGATTTATCTCTGTTGGCTAGATTTCATTACTAGCTGTTTCTTTTTTTTAAGATAATTGCATTCTAAGTTTTTGCGTGCTTAAAAATGTCCAAACGTTGGTTTTATATCTAAAGGGTAACTTAGTAGGGTATAAGATTCTTGGTTTTTTTTTTCCCCACAGGATTTTTTGGAATTATGTGGCTGTGTTGGAGTCTAAAGTCAATTTGATTATCCCCCCTTATATGTGACTGACTTTTTCTGCCTGGAGATCCAATCCAGGCATATTCTTTATCGTTGATGTTTGGGAGATTGATTGTGAAGTTTTTCCTTTTAAAATGCAGATTCAAATAAATAAATAAATAAATAAATAAAATGCAGGTTCAGATTTTTTTTTTTCCTTTGAGATTTCAGGAACATTTTCTTGCATTATGTCCTAGAATATTTTTTTCTGTTTTATTTGTTCCCATCTTCAGGAATTCCATAATATATATCAAATCTCTTAATAGCTTTCTCCATCACTTTTATGTATTTTATTAATAGTTTAAAAAATATGTTTTCCTCTAGACTGTTTACAATGTCCCTGTCTATGTTTTTAGTTATTTAGTTTTTTGCTACCTCTAATTAGACTTGAACTTACTATATTTCGTGTCTTTCTTTTATTTCCTTTTGTTGCTTCGCCAGCTTGCTTTTCATCTCCTCTGTTGTCATATAATCTCTTATTTATGCTCTTTTTTAAGAAAGCTCATGTCTGTAAAGTCTATGATATTAAGGCAGAACTATTTGTGTTCATCTTTTCTTCTTTCTTTGTTTAGGTTCTTTTTTGATGTGTTTTCTCCATCTGCCTTTTGCTCTTTGCTCCCTTTTTCCTTTTTGTACCTTCCCCGCTTCTTTATATAGGTTCTGTGCTGACCCCTTCATTACTGGATAGTCCATAGCGAGGGGAGGCAGGGTGGCTGAGGAGGTCCACAGCTTTGCTTGGGTTTGTTGTCTCAGTGCCCTGTTACCTTTGCCCTGGGAGCACATCCGTGTGTTGGTGTTCAGGGGGTCATTCTGACTCTTTGCAATGCCTGTAGAGTCAGAGGGGTTAATAATGCTCCCTCCTACCCTGCCTCTCCTCTAGGCCACCTCAGCTGGGAGGGTGGCAGTGGATGGCAGAAAAGGCTCTTCAGACTGTGGGCCTTTCTACTGTGTTGAACTGGCTCTTGACAAGCCTTCCCCCACTTCTCCTATGGCCTGCCATGGCTCAGCTCCAGGCCTTTCACTCCTGGGATGGTGACGTTCAGGGGTTTCTTTTTCCTGCTACCACCTGAGGGGTATGTGTTACTTCTCAGCTTCCTTCTTATTTTGGTCCAGTTTTCACAGTACTACATCAGAGACACTTTATAGTTTGTAGATTGGAGTTGTAGCATTCCCTTGTTTTATGTGTAGTAAGATTTTCCATTTTTTATTTAGCTGTTGTTTTTGGTGAGTTTTGAGCAAGGAGAGGAAAAAGAAATTCCACTGGTGGATTTAAATTTCTTTTATGCTTTACATTTTATTTTGAAAAATTTAAAACATTCAGTACCACACCCATAATAGAACATTTCCTTTTGTCACATTTCTTTCAAATCTTTTTTCTTTTTAAAAGCAATCAAGTGTAACCACTATATGGCTGAAATTCCGTTTGACACCCACCCCCAGGGCCACCGCTCATCTTCACCCTCGGAACCCCAAGGCAGTAACTAGCCTTGCAGTTTCTTTTTGTATTTAAAAATTTTTAAATACAAATATCTGTATACAATATGACATTGTTTTTATGTTTAGAATGTTTAGCAAGATGATACACTGTTTCATTGTTTTGCAGTTTGTGTTTTTCCACCTAACATTGTGTATGTAATCTGTTTTGATACACACACACACACACACACACACACACACACACATGCACTTTTCCTCTTCACTGTTGCATATTATTTCGTGATGTGAATGTGAGGTATTCATTGTGAGGTATTCAGTGTTCTCTTGGTGAACATTGTTAGGAATAACACGTCACTGGACATCCTTGTCAGCTTTTTCTAGGCTTGGGTGCGTGAGTTTCTCAAGAAGTAAACGTTCGAGGTTGTAAAATATATGTGCCTTTTCATCATTACCAGATACTAACTAGTTGGTACTATCAGTTGTATACCAAAGTGATGGCACCAGTTCACCCTCTCAACAACAGTGAAGGAAAATCACTGCTATACGTCAGTATTTGATATGTATACTCTTTCTAACATTTACCATTTCTTGAATAATCCTGTAATGAAGGCAGCATTATATAATGAAGATAACTTGATGGATTAGATTTTCGGAATTGGTTGTTTCTGGGTGAATTTAGGAGGAAAGAATGATAAATCATCTAACTAGGAGTCCTACCTAATGCAGTTCATTCTGTATCTGAAATGAGATTACATTTTACTGGTTTTCTCTGCCTTTTTTCCCCCAGAGTATCATTGGGCTGAAAGTAAAGTTTTAAATGTGCTAGAGTTTTTTCTGGAGTTGGGGTGGGGTGGGGACGATACGATAAAGTGTATTATTCTGCTAAGAGTGCTGCCATCTTTTGTACCTGTGTGCAGTTTTTACTTGGAGTGTGTTTATTTCTGAAACCCTTTTCCCACCTGTTTACTTGAAAATCATTAAATGTGTTGCAAGTGAACTACGAAATGATTAGATGCTAATGTGGCAAAGGACGTGTGAATTCTTAGTCCAGAAACAGGTACATTTCATTTAATACAGTAAGTTGTTAATGCATGACTCTCTGCTTTTGAATTGTGTGATTCAAAGGTCCTTTTCACCCATATGATATATTTACATGAAGGAGGTGAATTCCCTGACATTTGGTCAACATACCAGTATTCCGGGTCCAACTTGTCTGTCTGTCAAACTCTCTCTCTCTCTCTTTTTTTTCTTTTTAATGAAATGCCTTTTTGACTTCTTCATTCCCTCAAAAAAGTCACAGTTCTTCATATATGCAATCTTCACTTTTCAGAAAAGCAAGAGGAAAGGGCACGAATACACAAATATTAAGTATTCCCTGACGGACCAGGCAAGTGGAGATCAGAGTCCCCTCCCGCCTTGTACCCCAACGCCGTCCTGTGCAGAGTAAGTAGAAATGAAGGAAAATCTTTTTACCTGAACATAATCCTATAGAAAAGCTTAAAAAAATGATATGTCTTTGCAGCACATGCCTTTCCTTGGTGCACATTATTGTTGCCTTACTGGTTCTTGAGTGTGCCAGTGGCTAGCTAAACTAAATTTTAATTGACCTAAACTGAAGGCTGCTTGCTACACTGGCTAGGAGTCTACGGGACTATAAAGATATCAAGTGCTGGTTCTCCAAGGAGAATCTAATTTTTAAAAAGTATTTTATTGATTTATTTATTTGGTTGTGCTGGGTCTTAGTTGCGGCAGGCAGGCTCCTTAGTTGCAGCTCGCCAGCTCCTCGGTTGTGGCATGCAAACCTTAGTTGTGGCATGCGGGATCTAGTTCCCTGACCAGGGATCGAACCCGGGACCCCTGCATTGGTAGCGTGGAGTCTTAACCACTGCGCCACCAGGGAAGTCCCAAGAATCTAATTTTTCTTTTGATGGGGTGTGGATTGTTGCAGAGGTAGGTAACACCCTTTTTGATGAGTCAAGACTCTTCGCTATGTAAAAGTAAGTAAATTGACCATCAATGTGTCAACACAATCATGGTCTAATTTTCCACAGTCAGCAGAAATCTACTGTGGGTATTTAAACCAGGTTAGCAAACTACAGCCCCCAGGTCAAATCTGGGCCATGGCCTGCTTTTGTACAGCTCATGGATGGTTGGTTCTTAAAGGGTTATTAAAAAAACACACACACAAAGAATAATACATGACAGAGACCGTGTATGGCCCACAGAGACTACATTATTTTTAGTCTGGTCCCGTACAGAAGAACTTTGCCAACTCCATGTTTAAACTAAAACATGTGATAAGAAAATATTTGTTAAATCGATTATGTGAATAACAATTGTAAGTTATTTTTTTTCTGTATATCCTAAAGTCACTCTCTGGTATAACATTTACTTTTTATTTTCCCCTAGGAGTCTTATCCCTGTTTGCTTCTGATGTGGATTTTTAAACCCCTGTTGGCTTTAATACTCTATATAAACGTTTTTGATAACATATATGAGGCTCGTATTTACATTTGCTTTCTATTTAACATTGAAATGAAATTATATAGCAAAAGTATGCTCTCCACCAAGCTGCCTCTTCCTTCTGCCTGCTTTTTTCTTTCCCAGAGGATTGATGGGGAAAGTTGATTTTAAATTGCTCTCTGCAGTGATTTGCAGTGGAACCAGCACGTCAGGGCTCCGAGTCCCCTACATGTTGGCTCAAGAGAATTAGCTCTGACGACTCCCTTTTTACCAGTGGCCTGCCTGTGACTAATAGGTTCTCTGCCTCTCTGTTCCCGTTGTCCCCCTTGTAGGGTGCAGACCCAGGAGACCCTGGCCCCTGCTGCTTGTTTCAGCTTGTTCCTCTCTGACCAGCCCAGAGCTGCTGGGTTCCTCGTCCCCCTGGACTGTTCTGGTCTCCACTCTGCTCAGCAAAACAGAGTCTGGGGGCTTCCCTGGTGGCGCAGTGGTTGAGAGTCCGCCTGCCGATGCTGCAGGGGCCGCGGGTTCGTACCCCGGTTCGGGAAGGTCCCACATGTCGCAGAGCGGCTGGGCCCGTGAGCCAAGGCTGCTGAGCCTGCATGTCCGGAGCCTGTGGTCTGCAACGGGAGGGGCCGCAACGGTGAGACGCCCGCGTACCACAAAAAAAAAAAAAAAAAAAAAAAAAAAAGAGTCTGGGCTCTGATGCATTGGCCTTCCACCCTGGGGTCCTAAACTGCCGGTCCGCTTCATGTTCACTTCATGTCGCCGGATTGGGGGCTGAATGGATCTGTAGTCCCTGCCTAACCGTTCCTACACTTTGCCTTTACATTGCTCTGGCCCATTCAGATCCTTCTGCCCACAGTGAATACCATTCTTTTCTCTATGCACATGTCCCACCTTCCTTCAAGGTCTAACCCAATGCCTCATCCTACAGGCCTGCCTCGCTCCACCCTCCTGGAAAACAACTCTCCTTCCGCCAAACCCCGGGAGCACAGGGACTCGAGGCTTTTACTTCAGAATTATTTTGCTGTGTGTTTCTGTCCGATATCCTATCCTATAATGTCAGCTCCTGGGGGCAGAAGCTATGTCTGCGCCGCATACAGTCCTCAGAGAATAGAGTATGTGCATTATAACTATCATGTAAGGTTAAACAGTATGTCTGCGTTTTTATTGGTGTCGCCTTCCTTTTCTTCTTTTCAGAATGAGAGAAGATAATGCTAGAGTCTATGAAAATGTGGGTCTGATGCAGCAGCAGAAAAGTTTCAGATGAGAAGACCCGTCAAGACTTCAAGCACAGAAATAGGTATTTCAACAGAAGTGCTCTACTGGTTAATTGTTTATATCATTTGTGGCATTTTGAAGCAGGCAAATAATTTGTGACTGTTTTAACAAAGTGAACCATCATTGAATTTTAAAAACCAGCCTCTTTTTTCTTCTGCCTGTATTTCTTTTTCCAAGCTAGATTCATTAAATATTGAAATCAAATACAGAATTAATTCTGTGAAGGGCAGGGTTAGCACTTACAGAAAAATGGTTGATACTGGTGATGAAGAGCAGATATTATCATTCCTGCAATTTTTATTTAAGTAGGTTAACCCACGCTGTGCTGGGAGATGATTTGTAGGGATCTAGGGACTGTGGGGACATGGCACTGGATGGTCAGAGTCAGGATGCCTGAGTTTTCACCCCAGTGGGCCTCTGACTGGCTGGCTGTATGACACAGGGCACTGGACTTCCTGGGCCTCTGACTGGCTCAACTCCACATCCCTTCCAGCTCTGATGCTGGGAATTCGTCTCCCTTGTACGTCTCCTTCCTTCCAATCACCTTTTTAGACAGGGACCCAATTGTGTGATGTATGTTTAAAAGGTAAGTTTTTAGCATCTCATGTCAAAATTCCCATTTCAATGAATAGTATATTTAAAAGCTCTAAATCTACTTTAAAATGATTTACTGCCTTGCCAAACTTCTAGATGTATGCTCCTTAAAAATTCTAACTTATTTCTTTGTCAGATGTGGACTTTCCCCCTCTCCCTGAAAAGATCAAGAACAGATGCAAGAAAGTTTACATGAAGAATGAATTTGAATTTGGAAGGCTTGCATTGTGGTTGACTACCTTTTGATAAGCAAAATTTGAAACCATTTAAAGACCACTGTATTCTAACTCAACAATACCTGATTTCCAATTACTCATGTCCTCAGATAAGAAGAAATCATCTCTATGATGTAGACAGTGTTATATTTTATGGAATTTTATTTTAAATTGAGGAAGCAGTTAAATTGTGCTCTATATTTTCCAGATGATGGTGATTCAAATTCTAGTTATTGGCATTTTTTTCTTTTGATAACCTCAACAAATTTAGTTTCCCCCCTGCTTTGTGGGGAATGATAGGGCACTTGTAAGGGGAAAAATGATTGGGGATAATTAAGTAACAACACCCTATAGAAGTGAGAACAATTTCATTTATCATCACTTATCCAGTAGTGGATAATGCATTTTGATGGCCTCTTATTTTGGCTAAATAATAATTAAGCCAGTGCCCCAGACTGTCTCCCCTTGCATTGCCATTGAAAAATCATGGGGGCAGAAATCATGGGAACTTAGGATAAAAGGCATGGTTTCTTCTTAGCAGTTGACCAATTACCATTCAGCCTGTTGACTGAGAAACTCGTGGTGGGAAAATGTTTGTCATCTTTTCTTTTCATTTGAGTAATTGTATTTAGGAAAAAAAATGCATCTATGGATAACCAGTTTTGGGTTGTCACTTGTTGCTGACAAACCACCTGAAAACTGAGTGGCTTAAAGCAACAACTGGCTTTTCCCCATCTCTTCAAACTGGGCTGGGCTCAACTGAGCGGTTCCTCTCCTTGTCTTGCTGGTGTCACTCGTGGTTGGCAGGATGGCTGGGCCTCTCCATCTGCATGGGGTCCTCAGGTCTCACCTTCTCCACGTGGCCTTGCCCGCAGGGTAGCTGGACCACATTTATGGCAGCTCAGAGGTCCCAAGGGTATAAAGCAGTAGTGGCCAGGTTTAAGACTTAAACCCAGAACTGTCACAGCATCACTTCTACTGCCTTCTATTGATTAAAACCAGTCCCAGGCCCAGCCCCGATTTGCGAAGAGGAGACTGCACGAGGGCATGAAGTGGAGGTGAGGTTCCTTGGAGGCCCCCAGTGTAACAGACCATCAGAACCAGTGCCGTGGAAAAACAGGTAAAAAAAGAGGTTAGCAAAAGTAGAAGCTGCTAGTGACCTTGGGAAGCTGAAGCTGGTTATGATAGCTGCTGTAAGCTGGAAGTCAGGCAGAAACAGGGCCTTCGGCGAGCTTCCTGAACCAGTTCTGCTGGCTCTTAGCATATGTTCTAAACCATTGCTTTGGGAAACTGGTCTCTTAAGGTTGGGTGTGTTCGGGAGGGCAGAGCATTTGAAAGCAGAGCCGCCTCATTGCCCTGGCCGCTGCAGAGGGAGGTGAATGGGGTGCTTTCTTCACGCCCCTGGCTTCAGTCGGGCGCCACACCCATGCACGCGGTCAAGGCTGCAGTGTGGAGGAGCAGTCCTCATGAGGCCACTAGTCAGATCGAATTAGCAGTAGCTCATTTTTGTTTTAACCAAGCAGTAGGATTTGCTAATGTTCTACCTGAAGTGCCTTCTCCAAAGACATCCCTCTTTGCCCTGTGTGTTGAATCATCATTCAGTGAGTGTATTTTCAATTGAAGCATCATTGGTGGACTTTGTAAAGATAATAAAATGCCACGGCAGCTTTGCTGCTAAGTCATGATCTCCTTAATCGAATTCTTCTTGCTTTGTCTCCAGAAAAGGAAGGACTAGATCCAACCCTGTTAATAGCTCCTTTCTGAGGTCTTTACCTCCTTTGAAACCCTGAGGTTGTTTGGGGAGAGCCTGGCTGCCATTTTCACAGACAAAATTACATTGACTTCCCCCCCACACCTCCCCTCCCCACCCATCCATTGAACTTAGAATTGTTGAAGGTAATTACCTTCTAAGAGGAATGTAAATGACTGCTGTCTTCTTGTCAAGCCTGTAAAGAAAGAGATTCCAGTTCAGTACTTGCAGCAAGGATCTTGAATCCTGTTATTTGTATTGCATTGTCACATTGAATGGTCCTCGTTTTTGCGATAATGTTTTGACTCTGGACTTTGGGGGCAAGGTCTTTCACCAGCATACAAGGATTTGATTGTACAACATATCTGCTGCATTAACGTCTCTGCCTGTAGCTTAAGATCAGTTGTTTTTGCACTTGGAAACACCGGATCCTGGCCAGCTTCGTTTGTAATAGGACATTGATTTCATTTAGATTTCCCTCCACGAAGTCAGCACCTATTATGTGGTGTAAACTGATGCCAAGACAAGATTAATAGTCCCTAAGTTGCCTAGGTTTGTCGTGTGTTTGATGAAGGTGATTGCAGGTTCTCGGGTAAGATTACACGGGATGGATTCAGGTGGAGGGGCTGTGAAGATGGGGGAGGGGGAGGGGAGCTCGAGGTGCGGGTGTAAAAAAACAGTGGAAATGGAAGTTCCAAAGAGGTGGTTTCTGAGGAAGTCAGAGGGCCTGGGACCACAGCAGTCAGTAATAGTTGGATCAGGTTACCTGGAAAATAGGTGTGATAGCTACATGTCTGCAGTCTGCTTCTGGGTTGCTGGTAGACATTAAATTTGCACAATATTCCCATAGCTGGCTAAGTATTTTAAAATTGCAAGCATAAGATTTTATATTTGGGGTGAAGAAATTATCTGGCGTGTGGTATTGGGGTTTTTTAAAAAAGCCAAATTTCAGAGTCTTAATAGCCTGTTTTTTTTTTAAAAAAAAACAAAACAAAACAAAAAGACACCTTGTATCCAGTGTGTGGCCCTCCTGAAATTCTGGTCATCTCACCCTTTGAAATCGGTGACTTTACAAATGTGGCTAAATGGGGATGAGAAAATACATGTACTATTTTCTTGGTGTTCGTGCATTCTTTACGGAGCCCAGTTGCTTTGGAACAGCCAAGAAAATCATCAAGATTATTTTTACGGGTTATTGAGGGGTTACTAGGGTTTTTAAGAACTAATATAATGTCCTGGGTTATTTCTAGTTCAGAGGAATGTGGAAAAAGGTATGCAATTGTGAAGTGTTCTGTTGTAGCTTGTTAGTCCGTAAGGGAAACTTAGACTGTAGATGTAAGTACAAACCCAGTGCAGTTTTTGTTTTCTGTATGTTGTTGGCGGAATAAAGTTTTACATCGTAAGCACATGGCCTCCCTGATTTCAATATGCCTTTATTAGGATCTGTATTAGCCCTTAATTTCATTAAAATCTTTTTTCCTCTTCCTCTTGAAAAATAAGTTCCAAAATATAGTTTATTATATCTTCCATCCTTAAAAAGTTTGTTCCTTTTTTACTATGGGCAGTTCACATAAGGCAAAAATATTAAACAGTTGGTTTTAGTGTGTTGTATAACTTTGCTGTATATCAAACTAATTTTTACAAGTTTTCATCCTAAACCTCAAATCATGTAATTAATAATTTGCCTGTTTATTTATGACCTAATTGTGATTCTTTTATTAATAAAAGCTAATGGAAAAGGATCCTTTATTAAGTCGATGACTAGATCTACAGTTAATTTTCCTGCAGTATATGAAGTATTGTACCAGAGTATTAAAAGATATGTAATATTTTATTGATAAATCTCTCCTTTAAAAGGAATACGTTTTAGGATGTCATCATTTTGATGTGAATCATGTAAATGTTGATAATATGCACTGTTTATTATACATTAGTGTTTCAAGAGATTCACTTAATTGCCTTTTTGCCCACGTATATTATGTAGTCTATTTGCAATTGTTTTAAAAAAAAATGACATTAAAAGAATAGTTTATGTAGAGAAACATTAGTGGATGTTAATTGTCTCCTCACCTGTATTTATGGGTGTTAGTTCAACTGCTTTGCTAGTTGCAAAGCCGTATTATCAGAGTAAAAGTGTATTTGTAAACTGTATGGGAACTAAAAATTAGGAATAAAACCATTTTCGTATATTATGGTATTTGTCATTTACTTCATCTGAAATGTCCAGGAAAAACTGGAATTACAGGTCCCTCAACGTCTTATACTAGCCAAATGCTGACATTTTGCAGCTCTTATCTAGAAGGGAACCTGGAATTCAGAATGAATGAATCAGTTCCTCAAGCATTTGAGTGCCTATTTTATGAGTAGCTTTGGGAGATAGGGAATTTTATTTGGAAGAACTTATGAGTAAATAGCGAGTAAAAAGTATGTCTGTATAATGTATACAGGACATGATTAGACTTCCCTGGTGGTCCAGTCGTTAAGACTCCGCGCTCCCAATGCAGGGGGCCCACGTTAGATCCCTTGTCAGGGAACTAGATCCCGCATGCCACAACTAAGAGCCAACATGCCGCAATTAAAGATCCCACGTGCCACAACCAAGACCCGTAGCCAAATAAATAAATAAATATTATATATAAAAAAAGAATCTGTGGGTGGTTTATGGACAAAGAAATTCATGGGTTGCTCAGACTTGTTGTCGTGTCTCTACCTGGTAAGGCCATAGACCGTTTTGGGTACAAATTCTCTTCCATTCAGCAAAGATTAAATCCCCACTAGAGGCTAGGGACTGGGAAATGGATGAATAAAACAGTTATACAGGTAGTTATAATTCGATTAGAGTAAACAATAAGGGTATTAACTGAAATTGATGGTTACATAGAGGAGTGAATTACAGGGAGTTAGGATTCAATGGTGAGGATCACTTAAGCTTATTCTTGACCAGTGGGGAACCTTGTGTGTGTGTGTGTGTGTGTGTGTGTGTGTGTAGAGAAAGAGGGAAACTGTCCTTTCATTTTCTTATGGGTTCAGTCAAGGCCAGTTTCTTTGGATCTCTTTTTAGAAATGAACATGCAAGGCAAATAGCTATTTCTCTATTCAGCTCTTGCTTCTCCATTCATCTCTGAACAAAGAATAACTCTCTCTGTCATGATCTATACCAATGGCAGTTCTAGCACTCTTTTGGACACATTTTGCAACAAAATACAGTACATATTTATGAGTGTCTTTATTCTCTATCCATGCATCTACTTACTGCATTTTTAACCATTCAGTTCTTGATGAAATATAAATTCACTGTGTTGGATAATCTAGGCCAGTTTTGCTAGGACTTCCTAGTATAGAGTATAAATTATGGTTTGGAATGAGCCGTTTCATTCTGAATGTAATCATTATTGAGATAACATTTTTCAAGGGAAATATCAAGTTCATGTCATAAGGCAAAGGATTTTTTTTCCTGCATTGTAAATGTTTTCATATAAATTTACAAAGTCAATAAAGTTACATTGTAATTTAGTTTTACAATTAATGAATCATCCTTTATTAAGAAAGATAACATCTGTTCATTCAGGATTACCCTAGATAACTCAGGTGATCTAGGTCTTCCAAGTGATGGTTTTTTTTTTTTTTTTTTTTTTTTTTTTTGGCCACACCACGTGGCTTGGGGGATCTTAGTTCCCGGACCAGGGATCGAACCTGGGCCCTCGGCAGTGAAGGCACAAAGTCCTAACCACTGGACCG